CCACTCGTCAACTATTGGCCTGTTTCCAATCTCCCCTTTTTGGGCAAAGTCCTGGAATGTGTGGTGGCCTCTCAACTCCAGGTTTTCTTGGAAGACACGGATTATCTGGATCCGGCACAGTCTGGCTTTAGACCAAGACATGGAACCGAAACAGCCTTGGTCGCCTTAGTTGATGATCTATGCCGGGAACTAGACAGGGGGAGTGTGTCCCTGTTGGTTCTGCTGGACCTCTCAGCAGCCTTCAATACCATCGACCATGGTATCTTTCTGGGACGCCTTGCCAGAATGGGCCTTGGAGGCACTGTTTTACAGTGGCTCCAGTCCTTTCTGGAGGGTTGCACCCAGAGGGTGTTATTGGGAGATATCTGTTCAGCCCCACAGATGTGGGGTTCCTCAGGGTTCAATACTGTCTCCCATGTTGTTCAATATATACATGAAGCCACTGGGGGAGACCATCCGGAGTTTCGGTGTGCGGTGTCATCTGTACGCAGATGGTGTCCAACTCTGTCACTCCTTTCCACCTGCTACTAAGGAGGCTGTTCATGTTCTGAACCGATGCTTGGCCGCTGTGATGATCTGGATGAGGGCAAACTAATTGAAATTGAATCCAGACAAGACAGAGGTACTCCTGGATAGTCGTAAGGCCGAAGAGGGCGTAAAGCTACAGCCTTCACACTCCCCCTGAAGATGCAGGTTCGCAGCTTGGGTGTGATCCTGGACTCATCGCTGAGCCTGGAACCTCAGGTCTCGGCGGTGCACAGGGGAAAATTCGCACAGTTAAAACTTGTGCGCCAGCTGCGCCGATACCTTGGGAAATCTGACTTGGCCACGGTAGTCCATGCTCTTGTTATAGACTACTGCAATGCTCTCTACGTGGGGTTGCCTTTGAAGACTGTCTGGAAGCTACAACTGGTCCAACGAACGGCAGCCAGGTTGCTAACTGGAGCGGCTCTCAGGGAGCATACAACCCCCCTGTTGCGCCAGATCCCCTGGTTGCCAGTCTGCTACCAGACACAATTCAAAGTGCTGGCCTTGGCCTATAAAGCCCTAAATGGTTCTGGCTCAACTTACCTGTCCAAACACATCTCCCCTTATGAACCTTCAAGGACCTTAAGATCGTCTGGAGAGGCCCTGCTCTCGGTCCCAACATCATCACAAGCACGGCAGGTGGGGCTGAAAGACAGGACCTTCTCAGTGGTGGCCCCTCGGCTATGGAACGCCCTTCCTACGGAGATTAGATCGGCTTCTTCGCTTTTAGCATTTCGGAAAAAAACTCAAGACATGGCTATTCTAGCGGGCATTTGCGAATACTGAGTAACGGACATAAAAAACAGAATCAATTACAAGATGGATTGGACATTGTTTTAATGAGTATTTATTGAATTATGTGTTGTTACAGCTTTTATGATTTTACTGATGTTAAAGTTTTTATATTGTAGCTGTGTTTTTGGTGGTGTTCAATTTTGCCTTTTAAACCGCCTCGAGTCGCCGGAAGGCTGAGAGGGGTGGTATACAAATAATGTAAATAAACAAACAAACAAATAAATAAATGATTTAGGTCCTCTTTTTCCCTTCTTGAAGATAGGGATACATTTGCCGTCCTCCAGTCTGCTGGGACTTCTCCTGTTCTCCAAGAATTCTCAAAGATTATTGTCAGTGGTTCTGAAATGACTTCTGCTAGGTCCTTCAATACTCTTGTAGTTCATCTAGCCCTGGGAACATGGTACCTCATCACACTGAGCTTGAGAAGCATGAGTGACCATCTGTATAGCAAAGGGGATCTTACCTTTTGATTCCCAATCATCCCAATCGTTTATCACACATTTCGCTCTTCAGGTGTTTGCTTCTTGTTGCCCTCATTCGTAACCATCACATGGGGAATCCTTTTCTCCACATTCTCCGTCTTCGCTGTGTGCCATTCAATGGGGTTGTCATTAATGTCACAGGATCACCACCTTCCTTTCTAGCTCAAACATCTGCTTAATTCCCATCACACTGACAGGCAGCATCACCTCCTATTTCAAGGATACCAGCAGGGATCCCTTACACTAGAGAGGCAATGTCTCCTTCCATGTCACATTTTTAAAACACTCCTTTGAGTGGAATCTTCTCCTCTTCTCTTTGAAATCCTCTCCTTGAGTAGACCAGCAGAATTTTAACCTCACTTTTAACACTGTTTTTCTTGCCCTTCCTGGACTGCATTGTGCAACTGGGAGGAGAGATGAAACAACAACTTGTACATTATGATATTTTAGTTTTTTCTTGAGAGCTTCAAAATTCCTTCTGATCTTTATGCAGACCATGCTTTGCAGAATTACTCGTTCCCACATAAACCAACAGGAGATGAGGATGGTCAGTGGGCTTGATGAGTCCCATCAGCTAGTCAGGTATATGGTGTTTTTCCCCCAGGAAGAAGAATACTTCCTGTCATGTTTGCAAAACACTGCTTCTGTTCTTCTGATGAGGGAGACCAATACATATCTCCTCTGGGAATAGACAAGGTCCCTTTCCTGTGTTGAATCTGACACCCTGCAGTTCTCCTAAGAACTGACCTTGTTACTATTGTTCCTGTTCCTCTGCTTTTTTGACTGAATTCTATAGTTCTAAACTTGTCCCTTCCTCAGAGACATCCCCTTCTTTCATCAAGGGCAATCCACTCAGCTGTGTCCAAGAACCTTTCACCCTCCCCACAGTTTTCTTGTTCAGTATAATTTATGGTTGTGGAGAGAACTTCCATTTGATTCTGTGGGCCCTTCCAGAGAGACCCAAAACACAGGACCTGTCTCACTTTTACCTGAGGCATCTAAACAATACCTCTGGTAATAAAAAAATTAATATGGAGAAAGCTAGTTTTCCCAAGTTACTCTACATTAATTAAATATCTGGAAAGAACTGGATCTTCAACTAAGGTTCAGATCTTTCCAGGTGTCGATTCTGTGGGGATTGACTTCTGAGACCGCTTCCACAATCCCCGCAGCCATTCCGTTTCTTTGGGCCCCTAGAGCCCAAAGAAGTCGGAGGATGCCCCCCCCCCGCGCAATTACCCCCCTTGAGTATGCCTGACACCTGGAAATGACACATCCGGAGGTGGGCTGAATGACATCCCAGGTCAAAGCCTGGGGTTGTGGGAGGGTGTGGGGAGAGAAACCTGGGAAGAAGTGGTTTATTTTAACTTGTTTCCTTCCAGCTTTCTGTCCTATAGAGAAGGGCCTGTGGTTATGAACTGACCTCCTCTCCCTCAGAGATTTCCAGCATGCCTTCGTGAATGACAATTCACTCAGTTGTAGCCAAAAACCTCCCGTCCTCTCCAACATGTTCTAATTCCTCATCATCTCTGACAGAGTAGAGAACTTTGAATCAATGTTAAAATGTATTTCTATAAAATACATATTAAAATACACAAAACAGAGATTAAACAAAGGATACAAATTAAAAGGTCATGCTTTAAAATTGGCTGGGTAGGCCTGCTGGCAGAGATAGAACTTCCCCCTCCTATGTGTTACATTCCTCCAAGCATGGACCTTGTCCACATTTGAAGTGTCCTACTCATAACCATTCTCTGTTGGTTTATTTGATGTGTGTTGTACATCTAAGGTGGTCGGCTGGGCTGTGTCCAACCATCCCTTCACACAACCTTTTCGTGACGTCCTGCTGCACTGGCAATTGCTGGCAAAAAAGAAGGTGCATGGGGTAGCTCATGGTGCCTTGCTTATCTCCCCTCCTCTGCTCATCACATGTTGGGGAAGGAGAGGGTACTTTGACACCCTTTCCCTCTCCCTGTCCCCCATCACGTGAGAGAAAGGGCAGCAATGCACTTTGCCCCGCCAGCCTTTCTGCAACCACACAGTGAAATGGGCCAGAAAGTGCAGGTAGCTTCATCGGAGCTACCCAAACTACACTTTCCTCCCCGTTGTGGAGGAGGAAGTGCCTTTTGGTGCTTTCACTCCACTTTGGGAGGACATTGGTTGGGGTCTGCCATGCATTGTGTGATGGTGAATGGCAAGCCCTGTCCTTGCAGCAAATAAAAACGGTAAGATGGGGCTTTATTTTGCCCTATTTGAAGAGCTGTCAAGTAAAGCTCAAGCTCCCTGATATCCTTAAGTGTAAATATTTGGGCCTTTGTTGCAGATATAGCTTGCTAGGTGTTCTGGCAAAAAGACAAACATGCCCTGTAGGTGACCACAGTTCCTCCTTCCCACTTTTCCCAGAACTCCTATGAATGCATTCTTGAAAATGATGACCTAGCTACTGGCTCCACCCCCAGAAAGGTCAGCTTAATGAGCCAAGGCAATTAAAGTAGTGCCGAACTGCATTGATTCTACAATGTAGATGCCCCCAAATACCATGGCTGAGGAGATATTGGGCAGAATGCTTTAGGTCAGATTCTAAAACCTAGGAGTTAACTAGTTCTACAGGTTAGAGAAATAGTAATACTATGAATATTATGCATGACAAATATTCTCATTTCTTTTTCCTCCAACTGTGTGTACTTCTTATATTTCTGATTTGGGTGCACCATTGATTGTGCCATCTTTGGCAACTAAAAACAAAATGGAAAAAACTAAAAGGTGATGATGAAATTTTTTTAAGTACATGTTTTTTAAAAGTACTTGTTTTTCATTCTCTTCTCTTTGACTTCACCTATAGCCAAATACTCCTGGGAAATAACTTATAACTGTGTAATTATCTGAAATTGCTTGCATTTCGTTGAGGCCAAAAATATGATCAATAATGCAGCTTGTGAAATCCTATATAAAGTACCTTTGCCATCCATAAATGAGCAGAGAGCATTGAGTGGGCAATATTCTCAGACTCCTATAATCAAATAAGCACACAATCATTGCAGAAAGAACGTTAAAGGTATGTTGTGTGCGGATATAACATGGAAGAGGGAGATTTTATGTCGGTTTTTCTACCCTGAGGTGGCAGGGATATGTGTGCTGTCTGCAGCCTTCCTATTGTTGTGGTCATCTCAAATGGAGGGCAAGCCACAGGCCACAATGTGCTTTCTCGATGATACCTTCCAGATGCCATATGAATATTACCAAAGCGGAGACTTGTTGATTGGAACAATTGCTTCCCAGTTTGGTATGCTGTCTGATGGAATGGTTTTCGATGAGCATCCCAGCACAAAGTTTGAAAACGAACTAATGTATGGATGTAATTTTTGAATATGCATTTACATTGACAAGCATGCTTTAAAATGTGTATGCTTTCTTCTTGAGATTATCTCTGTGTGTATACCTATTTACATGTATATACATACATATACTTTTGCTCTCCCCTCTTAGACCTCGTTTTAAATTCATTGTGCTTAGTCCTATTTTCATCCACTCTATATACTGTCTCATCCTCTATGATGCTGCTCTGTATCTTCCATTACTTCCTTCTGATTACATTGTCACTCTCCATTTAAGTTTCCTCTTCTGTGCACCTATTCTGCGATTTATGATTCCTTGTACACTTGTTGCTGTATTTTGTTTCAACCATAGTTTTTTTATCTCTCCATCCAAAGCATGAGCGGCCCACCTACTTACAACTGCATCATGTGTTTTGCCAATTTTCCAATATAGCATTACTCTCTTTGTTGTATGATTTATGTCTGGCCATGTTATTGTATTCATCTCCTTTCCTCCATTTCATCATTTTGAGTGTGTTTTCTTTTTCATTCTGCATTTCCTGGGGGGGGGGGGTAGCTGAGATTCTAACGTCAAGAACAGTCTTGAATGATTTGTGTGGGGAAGGAGAAAAGGAGTCACACCCCATGTTGAAAAGCTATCTTGGAAGAAGTGAGAAATGGAGACTCTGGAATAGTACACCTAAACTTAGCAAGATTCACAATAGTCTAGAGGCGTTTTGGTTTCTATTTGGCACTTTTCCTCATGGCTGTATTAGGAACTAAGAAAGTAAGAGAACACAGCAGAAATAAGAGGAAGTTATTATGCAGTTTTCCTTGAATATTCCAATGTCTAATAGTCACCACTTGATTATTTGCATTTAAAATATATTACAGACACAATATCTAACCCAGGCAATGTTTAGTGAATTTTACACTTATGTACTTGAATGGATGTATTGCATTCTAACTCCACCTTTAAAGCTGCATTTCTATGCCATTTACTGTATGTGGAATTGAACTAGACAGCAAGAAGAAAAAAAAACCCAGACTGAATTCTGAGCAGATTCAAAGTAGATGTAAACCTTTTGCTGAAATCAGTAGCACTTACACTGTAATCTTATAGTTTGATTTGTCTGTTAAAAATTAAATTCCATTTAGTCTTAAGTAAGTTTCAGCTCAAACTGTTTTTCGGCCTGTATGGCCAATGTTCCAGCAGCATTCTCTCCTGACATTTCACCTGCATCTGTGGCTGGCATCTTCAGAAGTTCTGTCCTTTATTTTAGCTGCACAATAGGCATGACTTTGCTTTAGAAACCACACCTTTATAAATTCATATCAAACAAGAGTCCAGTAAAGAAGTGTGGTAACTAATAAGAAATTTTTGTTAGTGAACATCAAAGACTGGAATGGCTCATTTTTTTTTGAGTTTGAATGTATAGTATATCTTCCTTCATGTTCAAAACTGAAATATCAGATAATATCAGGTATTTTCTATCACCTTTTTCAATAAAATGCTTAGTGGAGGCATCTGCTGCAAACATTTTACAATTATACATGCATATATCTAATCATTTGCATTAGGTCAACACTGAAGAACTATCAACATATTCTGGCCCTGGAATTTGCTGTAAATGAGGTAAACAACAACCCCAGCATCTTATCAAATATCAGCTTGGGCTTACATGTCTATGACAGTTATTTCAATGCAAGAATGACTTATCAAAACATTCTGAAACTTCTCTCCACCTGGAAAAGGATTGTCCCCAACTTCCACTGTAACAAGAAAAAGAATCTGGTTGCTGCCATTGGAGGAATTGACTCTGAAGTCTCATATTACATGGCTACAATCACTGGTGTTTACAAGATTGCACAGGTAAAGAATGTGAGTGTGTCATTGCATTTGGGGGGTTTAAAACTACCTTTCACCTTTCATGTTACACTCAGGATATTCCCTACGTTTCTCCTCTGAAAAAAATACCTGTAACTAATTAAAAGTTGTGTGTGCTTGCTCCATAGAAATACTGTATCAAAATTGCAAGACAAGCTTTTGGTAGGGTGTGTGAGAAATGGGATTGTGTCATTTTGAAGGTCAATATTTCCAAGTGGTCATAACATGTAGGGTGTTCTGATGGTGTTCTCATTATAGATAAGTTTAGATTATTACCTCCATATCTATCTCCCATTAGGATTATTTGTACAATTCCTAAACGAATAGTTGTTTATCTCTAAGAATCTTTGCGTCCAAGAGATGTTCCTTGATAAAGCAAAATAGATCTGACAACCTTCCCTTGGATCCATCTCCAAACTTTGTTATAGTGAACTGAAAATAATAAAAATAGAATATGACTAAAGATAAGACATCTTCACATGGGCTAAATTCGGCAGCATGTGCTGATTTAACCCTTGTCATCCACCGAGTCGGCTGGCTCCCATCAGATGATGATGTCATGGCTCTGTGGGTGAAGGAGGGCATAGCTAGCAAATGCCACCACCAGGGCAACACAGGAGGACTCCCTTGTTGCCATTGGAATCCATTGGGGAAGCCGCACACTCCACGTGAGCTCATGCTGCCCCCATTTGATCACCCTCGGATGGAGCCGGGTAATGCAGCATGTGGGGCACCAGGTTCCGCACACTCTTCTATGAAGTGGAGCACCTCCAGTGTCTGTTTTACAAGGTTGTAATAAGTCATAGGCCAGATTGGGATAATAGCATGTTACAGCATCTGAAAGCATGGGAAGGCCATGTTCAAATCACAGTCCAACAGAAACCTTATGGGTGTATTTGGGGAAGTCACACTCTCTCAATCTCAGAAGAAAGCAATGGCAAACTCCTTCTTAAAACATCTAGTAATTTTAGGATTTCTGTAAGTTGGAAAAGAGGGAGAGCACATAACATACAATGAATAAAAACAGAATACAGGGAAAATTAGAACATTTAAAGATAATATTTGGCCACCGCTACTGCCAGGACAAGAAATATAAACTTAAGATTCCCAGTTTACTTATGCGTACTTTAAAGCAATGAAATATTCTGCCCGCCTGATTTGCTAAGTAGTATGAAATAACACTAATGTAACTGAATGTTCTGTAAGATGTAAAGAAATGCTGATTATTGATTGAAGAATAAAATATATTTTTTAAATGTGATAGAAGAAACTTAACACATGAAAACCCATACCACACCGATGCTATTAAAAGTCAATTTCTTTTGGTCTAGATTGGCTACTGTGTATTGGCTCCAGTGATGAGTGAAAAACCCCAACACTCTTTTTTCTATCGGATGGTCCCAAATGAAGTATATCAGTACAAAGGGATTGTCCAGCTCCTTCTGCATTTCCAATGGACATGGGTTGGTTTGATGGCAGCCGAAGATGACAATGGAGAAAAATTTGTGCAAACGCTGGGAAAGATGCTTTTCCAAGGAGGCATATGCACAGCTTTTATAGCAAAAACAAAGCACTTAGCTCAATTCATTGAAAGTGAAACAGCTTTTGAAGTCTTTCCATACTTATGCGGTCTACTAACCGATTCCAAAGTAAAGGTAGTGATTATCAATGCAGAGCATCAGACCGTATCATATTTAAAATGGCTGATTTATAGTTCTGTCAATTTTAGAAACCTTGTTACACTTGCATCTTTGTCTAAAGTGTGGATTATGACAGCTCACTGGGATTTCTCATCACAAGCTGTTCACAGGCTTTTTGATATACATGCCTTTGACGGTACACTGTCTTTTGCAATTCATTCAAAAGAAATGTTGGCATTTTCAGAATTCCTTCAGACACTTCATCCTAGTTCATCAAAAAGAAATGATTTTCTTACACTTTTCTGGGAAGAGGCATTCAGTTGTTCTTTTTCTGAATCTAATGAAGTTATTAAGAGGCCTACATGCACTGGGCAAGAAAGGCTGGATGATCTCCCAAGAGTTCTTTTTGAAGTAAGCATGACAGGCCAAAGCTACAGCATCTACAATGCAGTTTACATGCTGGCACATGCTTTAGATGGGGTTTATAAATCTAAGACAAGCCGAAAAGTAATGGCATACCCGGGTCCACCAGATCCTTCATATCTTCAGTCATGGCAGGTAGGATTTGACAAGACAAATATCACTGATATCAAATGTTTAAACTACTATCTTGAAATGAGCATACAAGATATATATTAATGATTTACAAATGTAAAGACGGGAGATGAAGTCCATAATAATATATACTAAATGTACTAAAAATGTTGGTCTGCTATTTAATATTGTCAGAATGTCAATGACAGTGAAATACCCTGAAGGAAAAGAAGAAATGTAATGGTTCAATGTAATGGTGAATCCATGGGTTCTTGGTGGGATATGTGTGGAGAAGCCACTGCTCCATGGCCTGCATCACCCACCTCACCTTCCTTCTCATCCCATGGGGGGAAGTATTGCTGCCCAGCTTCCCCCATTAAAGAGAGGGCAACACGGAAGGCTCCCATGTTGCTACGGTGGGTGTTGGTTCACCTCCCTTTTTAGGCACAGAGCCTGGCCAGTAGTCTCTTTATGTTGTGTTAAGGGCTCTGTGCTGAGAAGGGAGGTAAAGCAGTATACAATGGGCAAATCAGCCCATCTCGGGTTGGGCTTTAGCACAGCTGGTAAATCACCAGAAGTGATAAGATCTACCAACCAAAAGATAGCCAATTCGAACTCCCAGATCAAAAATAAGTTAGAGCTGTAAGTAGACAAATTGGGTACCACTAAAAAGCAGAGGAGGTATTTCACGACGCCATAAAAGAAAAGAAAAAAGATCAGACAGTGCCTGATAACCAAAAGGAAAGAGAAAGTCCTGATGCTCTTCATCATAGAGGATGGAGTGACAGCACGCCCCTGTGGCTGGATTGAAGCACAACCTCCAAGGTGCAAAAAAACTAGATGTTGACACAACATACCTCTTTTCTGTTTGTTTCTGTACTGTCTGTCCAAACGGCATTGAATGTTTGCTGTGTATGTGTACTGTGAGTCCCCTTGGAAAGACAGGGCAAAATATAAATAAAGTGTTATTATTTTACTGACACAAAAGCATATTATTATTATTATTATTATTATTATTATTATTATTATTATCTAATGGGGTCACAAGTAATTTTTAAATGTGATGACAGCAATGCCTTATGGCACAGAGAGAGACCAAAAGGGCATCTACATTGTGGCTTCAATGCAGAATGGACACCACTTTAACTGACATGGTTTAATGCCATGTTATTATTGTAGTTTAAGTTTTAGAAGGTCATTAGCTTATTCTCATAAATAATATAGGTGCTTCACCAAAGCTCCAATTAAAGTGGTGTCAAACCTATTCATTCTGCAACTGGAAACACATTCATTCCTCAAATTCCTAATAATCCTGAAAGAATGCAGATAGCCTTGATGGAAACAGAGGTAACAAAACAGCAGTAAGATTTTGAAAAAGAAAACAGAAAGAAAGGAATACCAGGTTCATAAATAAAGGCTTGGAGTTGTTTTGTTTTGTTTTGTTTTTTCATTCTGAGCAGCAAACAGCAATGACTGAATACCAGTCAGCTTAAAAGCTTTCTAGAAAAGATATCAATTGATCATTTGGTGAGAAATATGGAGCAAAATGTGATTGCCTCTGGGATCATTTTACATTTCACAACTGAAAAATCTTTGCATTTCTTACTGATGCATGTAAAAGGTTAAAGTGAAGTAGAAGTCTCACCATCTTTATAGCAATTCCCCAACAACTCGTCATTTTCTTCTTTCAATCTAGCTTCATTCTTTCTTGAGGAGTGTCATATTTAACAATAGTGCTGGAGACACTGTGGCTTTTGATGAGAATGGGGAATTAGCAGCTGGATTTGATATTATGAACTGGGTTACTTTCCCAAACCAATCCTTTTTAAAAGTTAAAGTAGGAAGTATGGACCCTCATGCTTTCTTGGGCAAAGAGTTCAGCATTAATGAAGAAGCCATTACATTGCACAACACCTTCAATCAGGTGGAGTCTATTCAAAATTTCTTTTAAAAAGCAATGGTAATCCAAAAAATTGTGATGTAATGATTCCGGTTAGATTGTGGTGGTGCAATCACACACATCAGAAATCATATTGTTGCTGTGTCCCTTTCAACCTCAGAGGAAGGCCATAGCAAACCTTAGTTGAGCCAATCTAACAGATAAAACCCTGCAATAGATTTACTTTAAGGTTACCATCGATCAAAAACAACTTGAAAACTCACAATGATGCCAAGGAACAATCTTTTTCCTTTTTGAACTCACTACTTTGTGACGACAAAGTTTTTGCAACACCTCTGTTCATAAGGTCATAAGATCAACATAGTATTACCAAAATCCATTATGTTACAGAGCAAACCCTGCAATAGATTTACTTTAAGGTTACCATAAATCAGGAACAGCTTGAAAACTCACAATGATGACAAGGAACGATCTTTTCCCTTTTTGAACTCACTTTCTTTGTGACAACAAAGCATTTTCAACAACTTTGTTCATATTGTCAACACTATTACCAAAATCAAATGCTGTAAGATTAAATATTTTGGTTACTGTTGTTAACATGGAAAACTGATATACTGTCTCTCCTTTCCGTGGATAGGTGCTGCCTATTTCACTGTGTAGCGATAAATGCCATTCAGGTTATATGAAGAAAAAGATGGAAGGGAAAATATTTTGTTGCTATGAATGTATTCCATGTCCAGATGGGAAATTTTCAAACCAAAAAGGTAGGCAGTTTAATATTCTTCAGAAATTTAACTTATGGCAACAACCCCAAACCATATGGGTCAATCCTTTGGACATACAAAGACAAATAGACTAAGCAAAATGGATTCATTTTTTCTTATTGATTACTCACATTTCTATCTTGTCTTTCTTCACTGGACAGCAAACATGTCTACTTTTTGCTCCCAACTCATGTTAATCCTGATGCAGATTAAGCTCAGAGACAGTTGGGTTATTGTGAGTTTTATGGGCTGTATGGCAACGTTGAAAGCCTTCGACAACACATTGAGAGACAGTTGCTTGCTGGGCTGAAATGAGTTGAATGTCTCAATGAGTACTTAACTTGGATTTTCTGAAAAATGAAAAATTACCTGTTTTATTTTTCAGACATGGCTGAATGTTCAACGTGTCCAGATGATCAGTATCCCAACAAGAACCAAGATGAATGCCTTCCCAAAAGGATGAACTTCCTCTCGTTTACAGAACCTTTGGGAATAACTCTAACTTGCTTGGCTCTCTCCCTTTCTCTGATCAACATTATGGTGCTCAAAATATTCATCAAGAACAAGGACACTCCCATTGTCAAGGCCAATAACCGGAACCTCACTTACTCTCTCCTCGTTTCCCTATTACTCTGCTCTCTCTGTACATTTCTCTTCATTGGCCAGCCTAAAAAAGTGACCTGCTATTTGCGACAAACCATTTTTGGTACTGTCTTTTCAGTAGCTGTGTCTTGTGTATTGGCAAAAACCATAACTGTGGTTGTTGCTTTCATGGCTACCAAGCCAGGATCCAGAATGAGGAAATGGGTGGGAAAAGGATTGGCAAACTCGGTAGTTTTAAATTGTTCTCTTATTCAAGCCAGTATGTGTGTTGTATGGCTGTGTACTGCTCCCCCATTTCCAAATTTTGACATGCACACATTAGCTGAAGAAATCATTTTGGAATGCAACGAAGGATCCGTCACAATGTTTTATTGCATTATGGGCTACCTGGGATTTCTGGCCATGGTTAGTTTCAATGTGGCTTTCTTTGCCAGAAAGTTGCCAGACAGTTTCAATGAAGCCAAATTCATTACTTTCAGCATGCTGGTGTTTTGCAGTGTTTGGCTGTGTTTTGTTCCATCTTACCTGAGCACTAAGGGAAAGTACATGGTGGCTGTAGAGATTTTCTCCATTTTAGCCTCTAGTGCTAGTTTATTGGGTTTCATCTTTTTCCCCAAATGCTTCATAATTGTCCTGAAGCCTGAACTGAATTGCAAGGACTACCTAATCAGAAAAAAATGACACACACACACATACATATATCTCTATCCATCAAGATCACTCCCAAATGTAGATTCCAAGAAAGATAAAATGAACATAAAAGCATAAAATGAACATAAAAGCATAAAACGAACAATGATAGTCTATGTCCATAAAGTAAGAGGTTTGTTTGTTTGGGCTTTTTTTTGGGGGGGGGGAGAAAGTAATTATTTGTGCAGGTGAGTTGAGGAAGTTGTGGTGAAAAATGTCACTTCTTATGGTCTGGTATGTAAACTTGACTCCTTCTCCCGGGTCACTGGTTAGCCGTGTTCTGGCAGATTAGATCAGCAGTGTAAACATGTCATTTGGATATCCTACAATGAATCATGGGAGCCTTCTGAGATTTACAAAACTAAAACAAAAAAGGATGGTCAGTTTTAGTTCTGAAATTTTTGGCTTGACTTGTTTTGAGAAATCCAAGTTGACTTTTAGTAATCGCAGTGTACTTTTCTAAGTAATTCCAGACTGCCTCCTTAATGATTTGTTCCAGAATCTTTCCTGGTATTGATGTCAGGAAAGGAGGAGGCTTTAAAACTTCTGTCTCCCAGCTGCTCACTTGCTTAATTAATCTGTCCTCCTGTGTCCCCGTTTATCATCCACACAATTTGCTATTTACATCACGTTTATCATCCACGCAATTTGCTATTTACATCGCACAGCAGGGGTTGATATCATGTGTAGTGTTCATTATTGCGTCCACCCCCGGAAGAGTCAGCGTTTTCTATCTGGCTGGGAGTTCCCTGTCCGCCATCTTGATCACCATCTACTGCTAGTGGTCCTCGTCATTTCTGTACAGACCTCACCACCCAGTGAAGTTTAGCTGCTCGGCTGCCAGAAAGTTTATGTCTTCGGCTGTTGAGGCCTGATACTTTGGGGGGGATGGGGAGGTGGGCTTTTTATTAAAATCAATTTGGCCTTAATATCAAGGAATTGAGGACATAGGAAAGAACCGTTACTCTGCTGTATATATAAAATCACGCTGCTAATGCTTGCTCATTATATAGCACTTTAACCCATTAACTCCCTTCCATTATTGCACTTTATAGATTAACCACTTGGCACTTTAAACAACAACAAAACCCACCAGCACTTTATAGACTCTATATATGCTCTAGCACTTTATAAACATAGTATGGACCTCAATTATTTGCTAGCACTTTATGGACTCCTAATTTAAAATCTGTCCCATAACCATTCCCCATGTTCCGTCCTAAGATGCTGTATATACTAATTATAACTGAACTTTATGAGGGAGGTGAGGGTTGGAACGGGCTGGAGAGGTCCGGAATTTGCAGGGCGGGGGTGGGAAGTGAATGGACAGGAGGGCTAATAAAAAATGAAATACCATCAAATCAGTCAACTAATATTGAATCATGGGTTGAAGATATGAAGACAAAGCACGTCATGGGAGATGGGTGTTCCATTGGTCAAGGGGCTCCCATAAGAGTAATAGCGGGGAGGGGGAGATATGGGAAAGGGAGACCACTTATTTGGCCTAGGGATTGTGAAACAATATTAGTAGTTCCAAAATGGTCTCCTGACATGGTAAATTGGAGTACCCAGGATGGCGGACCCTCTGGATTAAGGGTGGTGCTGTTTAACACCAGATCTGTCAACGGTAAAACAGCTCTCATCCAGGATTTAATCCTGGATGAATGGGCAGATCTGGCGTACATAACAGAGATGTGGTTGGACGAGGCTGGAGGTGTAAATCCGACCCAGCTTTGTCTACCAGGCTACTCCGTGCAGCACCAGCTGAGATCTGGAGGGCGGGGAGGTGAGCCCCGCCCTCCCTGACCAGATGCCCCATCCCACCATCAACCATTTTTGAATGTGTCCACTTGAGAATAGGTGACCGGGACAGAAAAGGGATTCTGTTAGTGTACCATCCACCCTGCTGCACTACAGTATCCCTACCTTAGCTAGCCAGGGTGGTCTCGAGCCTGGCGTTGGAGTCCCAACAGCTTATTGTGCTGGGGGACTTCAACATCCATGCCGAGGCCATCTTGTCAGGAGCAGCTCAGAACTTCATGTCTTCCATGGCAACCATGGGGCTTTCCCAACTGATATATGGCCCTACTCACAAGGCTGGACATACATTAGACTTGGCGGTGTGGAGGAGCTGACCATCATTCCATTGCCATGGACCGATCACCACCTGGTCACTGGACCCTTTAAACTTCACTGCACCCTTTAAACTTCGCAGGGGTGGAGGACCCATTAAGATGGTTTGCCCCAGGAGACTTATGGATCTGGATGAATTCTTGATGGCTCTTGGGGAATTTCCCACCACTTCGGTTGGTGATTCTGTTGATGCCTTGGTCACTCTCTGGAATGGGGAGATGACTAGGGCAATAAACACGATTGCTCTGGAATGTCCCCTCTTAAGTAGCCGAGCTAAACCATCTCCTTGGTTCAATGAGAAGCTGGCAGCAATGAAGCGAAGGAAGAAGGAACTAGAGAGCATGTAGCGTTCAGATCCAAGCAGGCCAAATCGAACACGGCATGTTGCCCCTTTAAAGGCATATGACGCGGCAATGAAAGCCACAAAGACATATTTCTTTGTGGCCAATATTGCATTCGCAAAGAACCATCCAGCAGAGCTGTTTTGAGTTGTCAGAGGCCTATTAAATCCCCCCTCCTTGGATGGGAACACAGACAACCCATTAGCCCGCTGTGAGGCATTTACTCAGTTCTTCGCGGACAAAGTCACTTTGATCTGTTCTGGCCTGGACATCATGTTAATGGCAGCCTCTGAGAATGTAACTCGAGCATCCGCTTGTCCGGTTTTGATGGATTCATTTCAATTGGTGAAACCCGACGATGTGGACAAGATACTCGGAAGAATGAGGGCAACCACATGCATCCTAGACCCCTGCCCATCCTGGCTTTTAAAGGAGGCCAGATTGGGATTGGCCGAGTGGTTAAAGGTGGTGGTTAATGCCTCCCTTCGGGAAGGCAATATTCCAGTGAGCTTAAAACAAGCTATAATAAAACTGCTGTTAAAGAAACCATCACTGGACCCCACTCAATTCGTCAACTATCAGCCTGTTTCCAATCTCCCCTTTTTGGGCAAAGTCCTGGAATGTGTGGTGGCCTCTCAACTCCAGGTTTTCTTGGAAGACACGGATTATCTGGATCCGGCACAGTCTGGCTTTAGACCAAGACATGGAACCGAAACAGCCTTGGTCGCCTTAGTTGATGATCTATGCCGGGAACTAGACAGGGGGAGTGTGTCCCTGTTGGTTCTGCTGGACCTCTCAGCGGCCTTCAATACCATCAACCATGCTATCCTTCTGGGATGCCTTGCCGGAATGGGCCTTGGAGGCACTGTTTTATAATGGCTCCAGTCCTTTCTGGAGGGTCGCACCCAGAGGGTGTTATTGGGAGACATCTCTTCAGCCTCACAACCATTGTCTTGTGGGGTTCATCAGGGTTCAATACTGTCACCAATGCTGTCCAACATATACATGAAGCCACTGGGGGAGACCATCCGAAGTTTTGGGGTGCGGTGTCATCTGTACGCAGATGACGTCCAACTCTGTCACTCCTTTCCACCTGCTACTAAGGAGGCTGTTCATGTTCTGAACCGATGCTTGGCTGCTGTGATGATCTGGATGAGGGCAAACAAATTGAAATTGAATCCAGACAAGACAGAGGTACTCCTGGACAGTAGTAAGGGCATAGGGCTACAGCCTGTGTTGGATGGGGTCACACTCCCCCTGAAGATGCAGGTTCGCAGCTTGGGTGTGATCCTGGACTCATTGCTGAGCCTGGAACCTCAGGTCTTGGTGGTGCACAGGGGAAAATTTGCACAGTTAAAGCTTGTGCGCCAGCTGCGCTGATACCTTGTGAAGTCTGACTTAGCCACGGTAGCCCACGCTCTTGTTATAGACTACTGCAATGCTCTCTATGTGGGGTTGCCTTTGAAGACTGTCTGGAAGCTACAACTGGTCCAACAGACGGCAGCCAGGTTGCTCTCAGGGAGCATACTCTCAGGGAGCATACAACGCCCCTGTTGCGCCAGCTCCACTGGCTGCCAGTCTGCTACCAGCCACAATTCAAAGTGCTGGCCTTGGCCTATAAAGCCCTAAACAGTTCTGGCCCAACTTACCTGTCCGAATGCATCTCCGCTTATGAACCTTCAAGGACCTTAAGATCGTCTGGAGAGACCCTGCCCTCGGTCCCACCATCATCACAAGCACAGCTGGCGGGGACGAAAGACAGGGCCTTCTCAGTGGTGGCCCCTCGGCTATGGAACGCCCTTCCTATGGAGATTAGATCGGCTTCTTCGCTTTTAGCATTTTGGAAAAAACTCAAGACGTGGCTATTCGAGCGGGCATTTGCGAATACTGAGTAACAGACATAAGAACGGAATCAACTACAAGATGGATTGGACATTGTTTTAATGAGTATTTATTGAATTATGTTTTATTACAGCTGTTATGATTTTACTGATGTTAAAGTTTTTATATTGTAGCTGTGTTTTTAGTGGTATTGAATTTTGCCAGAAGGCTGAGAGGGGCGGTATACAAATATTGTAAATAAATAAATGAATGAATGAATGATTTGGGTCCTCTTTTTCCTTTCTTGAAGATAGGGACAACATTTGCCATCCTCCAGTCTGCTGGGACTTCTCCTGTTCTCCAAGAATTCTCAAAGATTATTGTCAGTGGTTCTGAAATGACTTCTGCTAGGCCCTTCAATACTCTTGGATGTAGTTCATCTAGCCATGGGAACATGGTACCTCAATACACTGAGCTTGAGAAGCATGAGTTACTATCTGTATAGCAAAGGGGATCTTACCTTTTGATTCCCAATCATCCCAATCGTTCATCACACATTTCGCTCTTCAGGTGTTTGCTTGTTGTTGCCCTCATTCAGAACCATCACATGGGGAATTCTTTTCTCCACGTTCTCCATCTCCGCTGTGTGCCATTCAATGGGGTTGTCATTAATGTCACAGGATCACCACCACCCTT